GAAACACAATGCAAATGCACATCTGTTAGGATGTCAGCAGAAAAGCCTCTGTTTAAAATGTGAGACTCTACTAAATGTTGAATTTCAGAATGATTGGGTTATCCTTGCATGTGAATCAAACATTAAATTGCAGACCCAGCAAGCAATTAAGGGGGCAGAAGATGTGTCACCATTTATTGCGAGCAGGTGAGAATATAAGGAAATCTTGCTGCAATTATGGAAGAAAGAATGTAAGTGTGCCACAGCTATATACCAGGCATTTTTTCGGAGGTGTCTATGAGCTAAGACTTTGTATAAACTCACATGTAGCCCCTCTAAATATCAAGCTTCTCAATTGTCAAGACAGTGAATCATATTCCTGCATTCTATGATATATCAATCTTTTAATTCCCACATTTTTTTAAAAGAAGTCTGATACAGCCAAGGTGACTGAGGACATAAATTTGGTAGCTTTCGGAGAGGAATTCTGGAATATCACACTTGTACAGTGTCAGGGAAACCTCAAACAGAAAGACTTTAAAAAAAAAAAAGAGGCTGACTACCCAATCTCTCTCAGTAGGAGGCCATCTCCTGAAGATATTTGTGCGGTTTACCCTTCCAGGGACATATAAAACCAACTTCAACCCTGGTCTATGTGTATTAGTGCTAATATCCTTGTGTGCTGTGAAGGTCACAGCTTGAGAACAGCCATTGAATATTCCTTCATTGAAGGCAGTGTAAAGGCAAAAACACTGTCTCACTGACTGCTGCCAACAAGCCAGTGTCATGAGCAATCAGGACAATAGAGCGAACAATAGAGCAAGTCAGCTAACATTGGAGCCAAAAAGGAAAGTTGGTGATCAGTAGCTTATTGGGAATAGGGCCTAGAATGCAGTGAGTGACATGAGCTATGAGAGCTGTTAAGAGAGAAACGAGAGAAAAGTACAAGCTCAGGATTGGTGGGGTGGAGGCCAAGGGGAGAGAAGAGACTTAAAAGCAATTCAGCCCAATGGACTAGTGAAATGGCAAAAGAAAAACAGCAGAGGCGCCTGACCAGTTGTTCCCCATCTCAATGACAAAGCTATCCATACGCTCCTTGCCCTTGTTGGAGGTGAAGGTGTCAAAGACTGGGAAAGAGTTTAAAAATATGTATTGTAGTAGAGGAAAGAAGCTGAGGGATTATCTTTGCATTCCAGGATAACTGTGGAATAATGATCATTATCATAGATGAGAACAGGACTCGACATTGTGGCATAGTCGCACAATGGCTAGCATTGCTGCCTCACAGTGCCAGGGACTCAGATTCAATTCCAGCCTTGGCCAACTGTCTGTGTGAAGTTTGCATGTTCTCCTCATATCAGTATGTATTTCCATTGGATGCTCTGGTTTCCTCCTATAGTCCAAAGATGTGCAGATTGGGTGGATTGGCCATGGTAAATTGCCCATAGTGTCCAGGAATATGCAGGCTAGGTGGATTAGCCATGGTAAATGCAGGGGTTACAGCGATAGGAGGACTAGGGCTGGGTGGAATGCTTTTTGGAGGGTCATTGCAGACTTTATAGGCCAATTGGCGTCTTTCTGTATTGTAGAGATTCTATGATTGTTTTATGTGGTCTAGCCAGAACTGGTATTGAACGATTGAACCAGTTCTAGACCACATTTCTTCAAGTTTCTGTTTCTAAGACTTAAGATAGTGAGGATAAGGATTACTAAAAAGGAAAAGATCAGGGCAAGAGACCATCGAGTGTGGAGTTGAAGTTTACTAGCCACAGAAATGCTGTGCTGATTGAGGGGCGAAAGGCTGAACGATTAGGGTTTTGAGAGTGAAATTTTAAATGTAAAGCATCAATGATCATCACTTTGGATTAAGAGAAAACAAACGTTCTAAAAAAGCATTACTTATGCAGCTGTTTGGTTCCACAAAGGTAAGAACTTATCAGACCCAGTGAGGGTGACTGGCAGAAATTATAAAGTGAGTACACTGTTTAAAATCTAGTTACATCTCATTCAACAAAATATAACATTTCAAGGGCTGTTGCAATTTTTTTCATTATCTTAGAGTTTGTTCTCAGTGGTGGAGAAAATCTTGCCAGTGCACCTTCTGGAGAATAATAGCGTCACTTACAATAACTTCTGGACTACTGTGTTTTTGTGTATATATGCAGGTCCTTGAAATTGCTTTCAGTTTCAGTAGAGTAATGGCAGCGACTGTCACACCATCATTGACAGCACAAAATCTGTGCACATAGAAAAGTAGTTCTGTAGCCAAAGTTCAAATGCATTCAGGTTAATGGAATGGAACTTGCTTCTATTGACTAAATGGGATGGGGAAGTCTTACCTTTATTCATTCTGGTTGCGAGAACGTAACATAAAAACTCCCCACAGTGAACCCAGCTAACAACCTCACTTTAAGAACCTCTGAAAAATGGTTTGGAAAGTATTAAATTTGCACTGGTGCTGCACAGAATGCAATCCTATGTGTGGCTAATGCACACATTTTACTTGGTAAATGTTGTATTATCCTGCAGCCACTCTAATTTTTTTCTTGTAATTCATGTCTCTTTGGAGCAGTAGCCGACTGTTGCTCGAAGCAAGTAGAATGATTTGTTTTGTGATTTTGATATAACTGCTACAAGATGCATAAAATTTAATCTTTTCTTTTGGTAGCATGAAATATAAAATCACATTTGGCCAATTGAAGCAATGGTTTTTTTACTGAATGGAAACTGCATTACGCATCTCAGGATTGCTACCAGTGCCACGTGCTAGTCAGAGTAGAAATGAAAGAATAGGCAGGTTAAATGAGTGGCTTGAGAGATGGTGCAGGAGGGAGGGGTTCAGATTTTTGGGACATTGGGACCAGTTCTGGGGGAGGTGAGACTATTACAAATCGGACGGTCTACACCTGGGCAGGACTGGAACCAATGTCCTCGGGTGTGCTTTTGCTAACGCTGTTGGGGAGGGTTTAAACTAATGTGGCAGGGGAATGGGAACCAAATGAAGAGGTTAGTGGACAGTAAGGTGGTAGTAACTAAAGCCTGTAAGGAACTAGATAATGAAGTCAATGTGACAACAGGGAAGAGGAGGCAAAGAGCAGATGATGAACGCGAAGGGACAGATGGTCTGAGGTGCATTTGTTTTAATGCGAGAAGTGTAGTAGGTAAGGCAGATGCACTTAGGGCTTGGATTAGTACCTGGGAGTATGATGTTATTGCTATTACTGAGACTTGGTTGAGGGAAGGGCAAGATTGGCAACTAAATATCCCAGGATATAGATGCTTCAGGCGGGATAGAGAGGGAGTTAAAAGGGGTGGAGGAGTTGCATTACTGGTCAAAGAGGATATCACAGCTGTGCTGAAGGAGGGCACTATGGAGGACTCGAGCAGTGAGGCAATATGGGCAGAGTTCAGAAATTGGAAGGGTGCGGTAACAATGTTGGGGCTGTACTACAGGCCTCCCAACAGCGAGCGTGAGATAGAGGTACAAATATGTAGACAGATTATGGAAAGATGTAGGAGCAACAGGGTGGTGGTGATGGGAGATTTTAATTTTCCCAACATTGACTGGGATTCACTTAGTGTTAGGGGTTTAGATGGAGCAGAATTTGTAAGCAGCATCCAGGAGGGTTTTCTAGAGTACTATGTAAATAGTCCAACTCGGGAAGGGGCCATACTGGACCTGGTGTTATTGAATGAGCCCGGCCAGGTGGTTGAAGTTTCAGTAGGGGATTACTTTGGGAATAGTGATCACAATTCCGTAAGTTTTAGAATACTCATGGACAAAGACGAGAGTGGTCCTAAAGGAAGAGTGCTGAATTGGGGGAAGGCCAACTATAGCAAAATTCGGCAGGGGCTGGGGAATGTGGATTGGGAGCAGTTGTTTGAGGGTAAATCCACATTTGATATGTGGGAGGCTTTTAAAGAGAGGTTGATTAGAGTGCAGGACAGACGTCCCTGTGAAAATGAGGGATAGAAAGGGCAAAATTAGGGATGACAGGTGAAATTGTGAGACTAGCAAAGAGGAAAAAGGAAGCATACATAAGGTCTAGGCGACTGAAAACAGATGAAGCTTTGGAAGAATATCGAAGTAGGACCAATCTGAAACGAGGAATTAAGAGGGCTAAAAAGGGTCATGAAATATCTTTAGCAAACAGGGTTAAGGAAAATCCCAAAGCCTTTTATTCATACATAAGGAGAAAGAGGATAACTAGAGAAAGGGTTGGCTCACTCAAGGACAAAGGAGGGAAGTTATGCGAGGAGTCAGAGAAAATGAGTGAGATTCTTAATGAGTACTTTGCGTCGGTATTCACTGAGGAGAGGGACATGATGGATGTTGAGGTTAGGGATAGATGTTTGATTACTCTGGGTCAAGTTGGCTTAAGGAGGGGGGAAGTGTTGGGTATTCTAAAAGGCATTTAGGGTGGACAAGTCCCCAAGTCCGGATGGGATCTATCCCAGGTTACTGAGGGCAGCGAGAGAGGAAATAGCTGGGGCCTTAACAGATATCTTTGCAGCATCCTTGAGCACGGGTGAGGTCCTGGAGGACTTGAGAATTGCTAATGTTGTCCCCTTGTTTAAGAAGGGTAGCAAGGATAATCCAGGTAATTATAGACCGGTGAGCCTGACATCAGTGGTGGGGAAGCTGCTGGAGAAGATACTGAGGGATAGGATCTATTTACATTTGGAAGAAAATGGGCTTATTAATGATAGGCAGCATGGTTTTGTGCAGGGAAGGTCATGTCTCACCAACTTGATAGAATTCTTTGAGGAAGTGACAAAGCTGATTGATGAGGGAACGGCTGTGGATGTCATATACATGGACTTCAGTAAGGCGTTTCATAAGGTTCCCCATGGTAGGATGGAGAAAGTGAAGTCGCATGGGGTCCAGGGTGTACTAGCTAGATGGATAGAGAACTGGCTGGGCAACAGGAGACAGAGTTGTAGTGGAAGGGAGTTTCTCAAAATGGAGAACTTTGATAGATATCATCAGCATATTGTCTAACAAGTATATTTTTCTGCAGGATTTCCATTTGAATAGGGTAAACCTGGAAGAAACCCCTGGACAAGAAAATTCTCCTGCAGGGGCTAGACCAAAGAAAAAAAATAAAAAAACCTACGATTTGACAGCTGCCGATAATTTTTGGCAAAGGCACAAAGGCAGGTAATGCACTTCGAGATTTTATTACTTTAATGTTTTCAAAAGGAAATACTTGCGTAAATACTTACATGTTGCATAACATGTGACAATATTTATATAGTACAATTACGAGATATGTACTTGCCAACTTATTAGTAGATTTGTGACATTGCTCATAGTGAGTTGGAGGATTTTTGATTTTATGCAATCAGCTAATTTATCATATAGTGTGTGATAGAGGGATCAATTAGCTCAGTTGGTTGGATGGCTGGCTTACAACGCTGAGTAAAGCTAACAGTGTGGGTTCAATTCCCACACCACCTGAGGTTACCAGCAAGGATTCTACTTCGCAGTCTGTCTCCTTGCCTGGGGCGTGGTGACCCTCAGGTTAAACCATCACCAGTTTGTCTCTCTAATGTGAGAGCCCTATGGTCCTCTGGGACTATGGTGACTTTACCATTTACATTACAGATTGAATGTCACGTCTCTGATCATTATTCTGAAAATGGCTTCTATATTAGTATTTAGTTTTTATCTGTTGCAATTTTTAAAACTAACAGGATACAAGGAGGTAATATCCAAGTTCCATTATCTGTAATTTGTAGTAGTGGCCAGGGGAGTGGTGTCCAGTAGCACTAGGGTAAAATCCGTGCTTTGTCACTGGTTTGGTCCTGGGATTTTGTAACATTGAGAATGTTCTTGGGGTTTGTCCTTGCTGTGGAGAGACATTTTGACAGGTTTATGGCAAGCTGAAATTTAGAGCTCATGCTATGGCTGTGTTATGAATCCCTGACCTCTTGTTGTGTAGTCCTTTTCCGGAAGTAGCTGAATCTGTGCAACAAGAACTGGATTCCTACAGGACACAAGAAGATGAAGTCAAGCATTTAAAGAGTATCATGGTAAGCAGGCAGTTCTTTTAAATACCCATAAAGCATATGTGTGTGTGTATAAGTGAAAATATAGACTTGGATATGGACACACAATCACAAAACCCTGATATGAACCAATCAAGAATTAAAATTTCTCAAGTACGGAAAATCTGCATTAGCAGACTGAAATTCATTTCACTTGTTGTCCAATTTGAATGCTAATCAGGGACTAAAATCTCTAGCCTCTGCTTCACATTGAAGAGTGATGTGCCTCTTATCAACAAGAGTTCTTTTCCCTTTACTCAAATCTTCTGCTTTGAAAGTTTTAATCCTGTGTCATCCCTTAAAGCTCTCTTTTAAAATCAAATCCACCAACCTCCCAAGCCACACTCTGAGTTTCTTCCAAAGATATCTCCCTTCCTTTCTTCCCCAAACTCTGAACCAAGTAAGTTTTCTTTCTAAGTGGATCCCGTTTCTGTCTCTTTTTTTTTCAGTCTCCAAATACACTGCCATCCTATCTACTCTAGATGTTTCCCCAAATAGAAACGTACCTACGTCCCCCAGAAAAGGAAGAAGGATAGTATAAACAGTCAGGTATTGACTGCAAGTATATAAAAAAAAAAGTGAAAAGGGTAATAAATAAAAACAATTAAATTGTCTGTATTGCAATGTGAACAGCATCCAAACTAAATGAAGGGAATGGGAAGCCATAATTCATAGTGAGGACCCAGATATAGTGGGCTAACAAACACAACAACATATAGAACAAGTCTGACAGCTAAATATTGTAGATTATAGCATATTGTTGATTTTAAGTACCTGTAGTCCTAACACTGATCCTTACAGCAAATCACTAATTACAGCCTTCTAGCTTGAAAATGCTCAGGTTACTTCCACTGTTGCTCCTGTCTATTGCCAGTCTTCCATCTGCATTTCTATATTACCCCCAATTCTGAGCCCCTATCTTACAAATTAACCTTTCATGTGGCACTTCATTGACTGATTTTAGGAAATCCAAGATTTTTATTTTAAATTTGCTGGGGGTACAGTTTGATATCAGGGCTTTAGCAATTCATTCAATAGCTTCACTTAATGCTTTGTTAAAGGTTGTTTATGGTTCAAAACACACTGGGGCAGTGGTTTAATTCTACCTCAAAAACCCACATAGAAACTGGGACAATTCAATGACAGGTAACCAATGAAAGAGAAATCATCCTGTACTTGAACATGACAGAACTTCTGAGGAACTGCTCTCCAGTTGAAGACTGTTTGTTTATCTCGCCCTAAACAAAGAAGTCTGTGATTAGAGGAGCAGCTGAGCAGTGGGTAGGTGAGAGGTAGTGCATCGGCCTGAGCCTGGAGCAACAATGGGAAGATAGGCTACCGGGGTACAGAAGAAAGGGATTCTGCAGGAAGAGGTGGAGGAGCACGCTGCAAAGGAGAGCTGGCAAGAGAGGCTGTGATGATGAGACGTGGGTGCAGAAATAGGCTGTTCAGCCCATCGCGTCCGCTCTGCCATTCAATAAGATCATGGCTATTCTGACAATCCTCAAATCTACTTTCCTGCCTTTTCTGGCTTAAGGCTGCTAAATTCCGGAGCTACTGTACAGAGAAACACTGTTAATTGGATCATTTAATACTGGTCTTTCCGAGATCAATTAATAAATGATCAATTAATTTATGGGCATCTAGGATGAGGGACCCCCTATAAACCAAAAAGTAGCCCTTAAAAATCAAGAAGGAGTTCTTTAGAAAAATCTCAAGAAGAGCCTTCAAATATTAGTTTCATTGTGATGGCACCAGGAATGGATCTCTTAGGGCAGAAGTCCAGTATATGAGCGGTGGTCTGGCTTGGATGGCTATAGTTACATTTTGAGCTATCCCAAATGCCCCATGTGTGGAGCAAGTGGCAATATTTTCTCCCATCCTCATGTGGTTGAGAGTTGCCCACATTTCCCATGGATGGTTGAAACTTGGGATTTCACCTCTTTGATCAGTTAGAATCAAAGAATCCCTACAGTTTAGAAAGAGGCCATTCGGCCCATTGGGTCTACACCGACACTCCGAAGACCATCGTTACCAGACTTGTCCCCTCATCCCATCCCGTAACCCCCCCCACCATGGCTAACCCAACTAACCTGCCCATCCCTCATCACTACAGGGCAATTTTTAGCCAGGCTAATTCACCTAACCACACATCTTTGTACTGTGGGAGGAAACGGGATTCCCTAGCAACATCCAAAGCAGACACAGAGAGTGTGCAAACTCCACTTAGACAGTTGCCCAAGGCTGGAGTCAAACCTGGCTTCTCGGCGCTGTGGTGTAACAGTGCTGACCACTCTCCTAGGTTGTGGTTGGTCATAGTTACAGTCCACCTGCAAGAAAATCACTGAGAGGTGTAGCTATCATCAGTTTGTAGTTGAGTATATTCTAGTATGGGCTGCAGGATTTCAGACAAGTGCATGAATTATTTTTGAGATCCTGTGTAAATTGGTGTACTTCATGAACTGTTATCTGGTAGTGTTCTTCGAGAAGGAGGCTTTCCCTGCAAAGATTAAAATTGTGTTGTTACACAAAATACTCGAGCTGGTCTCAGAAATAATCATCATGGCTTCCTGGAGGCAGATATGAACCACTTTTGGCAGCTTCTGTCCCAAATGGGACAGAAATGCCTTGCTATTGGGTAGGCTGTGACAAGTAAAGCAGTGCGTACTGAGATTACAAGGTGTAGAGCTGGATGAACACAGCAGGTCAAGCATCTCAGAAATAATCATCAT